GTATCTTTCTCGTACCCATATGACTTTGGGTGTTGTTAGGGGTGCAATTGGTTTAGACTTGAAAAATCATTTAGTAGAGGTCTACTCAAGTCGCGAGTACGACGTTTGTTATTCTTCAAAAGTGCTTAGTGATGTTTGAGCAGAAAATAGTAAATATTTCAACATTTTTATGTTAGAAATGTATGGAAAGTGTTTTTACTTATAGGAATATATTTTACCTTCATAATTTTATGAGAAAATCTTATTAAAACTATTTTTTTTCATGAAATTTCAGGCGGCCGGAAAGTAGTATTGAAAAAAACACGTATTTTAGTTCTCGGCCATGTGGCCGAGAATCATATACTTGTTTAATGTTTCTATTTTGAATTCATTCAGATTATGTAAATAGTTAATACATAATAAAATTTTTAACAGGTGCATTTGGATATCTCCTTTTTATATATTAGTTTGCGGCCGTCAAATATTACATAAAATAATGTTTGTTTCGAACTTCAATTTTCATAAATATTCAGGGGCCGAGAACTACCTTATCTCGGCCACTACTAGAGTTCAGTGGCCGAGAACCCATGGATCCATATATTTTGTGTGTTTCAATTGTCGGCCATTATAAAATTCTTGATTGCATGTTCAATGGAGTAGGTACCTATACCACCTACCTTACTAAAGTTAAAGTACCCATCATTTAAGATAACTCAGAGACGTAATCAATTTTGCTAAAAGAAAAGTTTTTGTTTCTGTCTTTTTTAGTGGCTCCCACAAAAAAAAGTGTAAGTTCCAAGAAAAAAACAACTGTCAGACCCAAGGCAAAAGCAGTAGCTAAACGAACCATGTTTCAATATTCTGAAATGGATTTAAAAAAAGATTTACATGAAGTCAGAATCAACAATATCTCAGTTCGTGAAGCCAGTAGAAGGTATAAAGTCCCGAGAACGACACTTCAAGACCGGCTCATTGGTCGAGTTCCTGATGAGCTGAGGAAACCAGGACCACGCAGCCTCTATTAACTGAAGAAGGCAAAAAAATTATTAAAGAATGGGTGATTAAGCTTTCCAAATGTTGATTTCCCTTTAAATAGAACATGTTGGAGACTGTATCGAAAATTAATGTAGAATCTGGCCTGAACTTATTTAAAGGAGGAATGCCGAAGCAAACTTGGTACTCTAACTTCATGAGAAGAAACCCAGAAATCTCGTTGAGAGAAGCAGAAGGCATCAATAAAGCTCGTGCAGTTGTGTGGATGGGTTCTAGGCAAATCCGAGAAAGGCTGGATGACATCAGACGTCTTTTTCGAATAGGTACCTACCTGGAATTCGTATGGCCGAGAACTGATATAAAATTGGCCGAGATCTGCGGCGAGTGACCGAGAACCAAAAAAATTACGTTTTTACAATTTTTCTTTTTTTTTCGTTTTTTGTATCTAAAGCATGGTTTAGACGACTAATTTTTGATAAAAAACATTCCAAAGATTTATTTAATATCCTCACATTGTTGATCCGACACTTTTCTCCATATTAACTACATCTCCAAAGTCGATTTCTTACTTAGCAGGCCGAGAACCAGTGAAATGACCCTGCCTATGTATAAAAAAAATTAGCATCTAACAGTTAGTTAATGGAAATTTGGCATTTCTAATGTGGCAACAAGGACAGGAATATCGGCTTTAGCCAATGAGAGGGCGTTTTCAGTGACGTCATTTGTGTTTAAATGTGCTATTTCTATTTATTAATTTAGTAAATGAACTGACTAAAACCTTGCAAAATATTGTTCATTCTCGGTTGCATTCATGTATCTGCGTCAAAAAAAATCATAATTTGCCATATTCCTGGCCTGTGTGATTTGCACAATGAATTTAACCATAAATAAAACGGCAGAAATAGTAATTTTCCTAAGAAGTGTGGAAAATATCATTTAGAATACATTTTCTACATACTTTCTACGATTTTCTTATTCTATTACAATTGGGATTTCAAGATCAGCGATACTCTATCTGGCGGCAAATTATGGAACTAGTTTGTAGTACATTGTCGTTTGTTATTGTATTGTTTACCATTGTGTTTTTGTGAATATTTTTGAAGTGTTTTTAAATTTTTAAAGCGTGTTGGGGAATAAATAAGTGTAAATTATATCAGTTAATTATATCAGATACATTCAATCATGACCTCAAATCACTACTGTTGTGTGCCTCAGTGCAAGTTTTGGGCCAAAAAAGATGCTAACAAAGGGTTGAGTTTCCACATATTTCCCCTTGAAACAGGCCTACAGGTTTATTTGGAAATGAAGATGGGAAAATAGTTAGAATGGAGAAGAAAAGCCTGGATTTTAAAACTTCGTATTAGCAAACCAGTCATCAAATTCATGAAAGTGTATTTCTCTGCATTTCAAGCAAGAAGTTTGTGTTAAGGTAAACAAACATAATAGATATTTTTGTGTCCTAGCTTCCTTTTATTAGGACTGCTCCTAGGCATTGATTAAGAACCTATTATCTATTTTTGAAATGTTTTGTTTGAAAATTTTGACTGTTTTTATTATTTACAGGTGGGAGTACAGGTAAAGGTCGGATATTGAAAAAAACAGCTGAACCATCCCAGAATTTGCCCTATTCTACAGTGATCCATAAACCCAGCCAAAAAACAGATTCCATGTGTGCTGAAAGACCTGCCAAAAGAAAAAGAAATCAAGATTCTAGTGAGAGCGGTTCAAGTAATGAATGTAGTGATACTTGTATTCAATTATTAAACTCTTTTGAGACAAACATACAAATGGACGAGCAAACAGCAGAAAGTGTCAAGTTTTTATTAAATTCTAATTAGGTGCCAGTATTATAGGCAGGTTTGTGGTCAAGTTATTTGACTTTGTTAATTCAATATTTACCTATTTATAAATAAAAATAAAGAGTTATTTATGAAATATTTATTTATTTATTGCACATACAAGTTATTCAAATACAGACATTATAAGGGACATCTGCCTTGACCCTTTTGGCAATGTTCTATAGTGGAAAATTTTAAGAAAAAGATCCGTTTAGGCTGTTGTATGGATATGACCATTTCGGGTCAGGTAAGCGCAATAGATTATATTGAATTTTGGCCTGCATCAGGAGCCATACAGCCCATAAACACAAGACAAACATTCAAGCTAATGTAAATCATATGCAAATTAAGTTAATAAAAGTGAGGTTATGAATCAATGTACTAGAAAGTAGTTGAGCTATTCGCCACCGCGGCGCTACAATCTTAATTTGAAATCCCAATAGGTAATTAGGAATGGGTTGAAATTGGGTATAGCCTCTGAAAATGTTTTTCACGCGCTGGACAACCTCCAAAAATGTCGATTTTCACACAGCTTGTGAAAAAGTTTTACACTTGCTGCTATTGCTGCTAGTCAGTTTTTTATTTATTTGGGTCCTATCCTATCATCCTGAACTGACAACATAAATTGCGATTGTCATTAATTTTGTATGCTTTGATTTTTAATAAGTAAAAAAAAATACATAGGTATTTGGTTGTTTCATTTTGCAGTTGTAGAAAAAGCATTAAAAAAAAAACAAAATACATAGTTATTTTCCTAAAAAAGTGTGAAATAGTATAATATACACCTAGGGACTAAAGTGGTACTTTTAATCCCGAGACAAAAAGTTTATAGCTCGACCGAAGGGAGGGCTATAATTTGTCGAGGGATTAAAAAACACTTTAGTCCTGAGGTGTATACACTATTTTATGCACTTTACTTGATTTCCCGGGGATTAAATAAAACAGGGAATAAAAGGGTACTTTTATTACCTGTTTCATTTAATCCCCGGGAAATAAAGTAAAAATGTAATCCCCTGGAAATAAAGTGAAATTTAATCCCGGGGATTAAAAGACCCACTTTACCCCCCCTGAAACAGGGATTAAAAGGGTACTTTCAAACCCTGAAGTGCATAAAATATCATTTTGCTGTTAGCACTCTAGCAGTTTTGTTATAAATAGCCCCCTACTATCAACATTGCATAATGACTCGCATTGTTCTTTCACTTTTATTATCGTTAACAGTGATTAAATTAAACAGTTGGTTTTTGTTTTGTATTTATTTTGAACACATTTTTTAAAATGTATTGTCTAAATATTTATTTTTATAGATGTTCTCGCTCCTAGAAAAAATACTGTTCCTTACTCTTGCTCAAAGTGTCTTGTTCACACTTGCGCACTAGTTAGGAAATAAACTTTTTCCGTCGCTTTTTCTATGTTCAAAATTTTGTTGAATTGCCATAACTTGTTTAGCAAAAAATTGAGGATTTCTCAGGGGATTTCTATGGCGGAGATATATCCAATCATCACCACAAACTTAATTAATCGATTACTTTAAATTTTAATTATTAAAAATGGTAGGTATATAATTACTATGTTGACACTTAAAATAAATTTTTGTTATTTCCATTTTCATTGAATTCATAAATTACTCCTTATACCCAAGTATCTGACCAGGGGCCTTATTCTGTAAGGAACAACCGTTCGATTCGGTAGAATTTCTTCGATTGTGACGTCATTTTCGATTTAGTTTTCGCTCGTTTTCGCGCTACCAAACCGAAAATGACGTCACAATCGAAAAAAATTTACCGAATCGAACGCTTCGTTCCTTACAGAATAAGGCCCCTGGCGTGTGCTCCTGGGCAATAGCCTAGCCAATGGATTAACTATTTTATAGGACCCCATTACAGATATTCAGGTCAAATCAAGGTATTATGCCATTAAACACAGTGACAGGGTTATGATTTATTTATAAAATACTAATATTTGCTAGGACCACCCAGTAAGAGTTTAGTATGGTCAAATATTGGGTGTTTTTTATTATTTAATTACCATCTAGCATTTCAAGATAGTTTAGACAGTGTTAGATTGTTCTATTTCAATTTATATGTTGGCTATGCAGTTATTATGCCTTAATTTTAAGCAGGCCGTACTCACCAATCACAAAATTGATTTTTTTTATCCTTATTTATTTCAATTTCTTTCGGTTTGCAGTTGTTCAAGAAGCAGTTGCCACTGGAGACCCAGAACTTCTACATATTGTTCTTGAAAGAAGAGACTTACAAAGGTAATACATAATTGACAATAAAACACAAGTTTTTCATAAGAAATTTGTTCTCATAGATATACTAGTCGAATGGCCGGTATACCAGACTTACTACAAAAACTAAAAGAAGCTCCCGATTTTTATGTGGAAATGAAATGGGAGTTTACTAGCTGGGGTAAAAAAGATTCAGTACCTGAAATTTATATCACTGAATAATCATTATTTTAGTACCCTTGGTATCTAGAATGTGCCCCAGCGATACATATAAGGTATACAAGCAAGGTTCAAATGTTAGAATAGATACCACACTGCTAGGATTTGATCATGCCAGCTGGCAACGTGGCAATAGAAGCTATGTATTTCAGAGTCAAAGTAAGTAACCCATAAACTATATTACCTCGATCTTAAATAATGTTTTTTTTTATAAATGTGCTTCTTTATTACAGAAAATTATCTTCAATTTTGTCCAATTATCAAAGGCAATCGAAGTTATGTTTATTGTTTGAGTAAAAAATATGGTAAAAATACTTTGAATTTAGCCAACTGTATTGCTAGATTGGATATTTTCAAGTAGATAAACTAAGCTTAAATATACTGTTAGTACACTTCAATATTTAATATATAGTAATTAGGATAAATAAAGTCAAAAATTACCATTTATATATTGCTTTTGTGTATTTTTAGAATCTTCTGATTATATTTTTCTCTAGATGGTGGTGCTACAATGATGGAAATCGACCACGATTTACGTCAAGTGTACTGCGAAGAAATGCGTAGCGCGGACGATACTTTAGGAATTTGGCTGCCAAATGAAGAGACTGTATCACAACGTCTTACCAATCCCATAGTCACCACTTTTGTAGATACTGAAAAAATTAGTTTTGAACGGTATTCATAAATAATAATATTATATAGGACCACTCTGTGATTTTTTTTACAGAAATAAAGCTGGTATTTGGGGCTGGCGATCGGACAAAAACGAAACGGTGAATGGGTACGAATGCAAAGTATTCGGCGCCTCAAACGTAGAATTAGTTACAAAAACCCGATCTGAACATTTGACTGAATATGATAAGGCTCGAAGTAAAACCTTGCGGACGCCTTTGCAAAACTTTTTGGGCATCGCGGAAGTTGGAGCGTCCCAGAGCAGTGCGGAAATACCTAAAGTAAGTACCATCAGTTCAATTATTTGGGATAGTAAACGTTCCAATTGAATTTCAAGACCAGGAACTAACTTAATAGATTATCGTGTAAAGCTGATGATATTCCCCTTAATGTAGACAAATTTTTGGTCTAGGGAATTTTGCTACGTAAGATCAAAACTTGACTGTTGTGCAGGTAACTACATAGTCTCTACTACAAAGTTATCTACCCAATGAACATGAACAAATTTTTATCGTTGTCACTTATTATTATAACCTAAAATAGTACTACATACTTTGTGAGATCCACATTATTATGGTTTAGTCAAAGTTTAAGTTTGAAGGTGAGTTTTAGTGGGCTTAGGGAGAAACGCAGTTTCCTCAAATCCGGCGGTTCAATTTATTTCCAATCATTCTCAGGGCTCTGAACAACAATGGTAAGGTCAATTAATGTTTTGCCGAATGAAGATAAAATTATTATCGTATTAACAACAAAATTAAGAAATCTGAAAATATATTAGATACAACCAATGACGATACAACTAACCAAAGATGTTTGCATGAAATTATACTTAAAGCTTAATTTGAAATACGTTATAAGATTATCACTTGTAATTAGTGATCTGACAATGAACACATTTTTTTTTAGGAAGAATTTTCAAAGAACACAAATCCCTGCAATATAACTCCTGAAGAATACTTTGATACCTCTGTAGATCTCGAAAATCGTGATATAGGTAGGCCCAAAGAAGTAAATGTAAAAATTCAAAAATTCAAAGCGAATTTGTGGCTGTGTGAAGAATACCCCTTGTCCTTACCAGAACAAATACTGCCCATTGTCGATCTGATGGCGATATCCAGTTCGCATTTTGCCAAATTAAAGGACTTTATCCAGATGCAATTACCTAGCGGTTTTCCTGTTAAAATTGGTAAGAATAATGACGTTTATTGTTTGAATATTTGTAAATTTGATGTTATTTGTAGAGATTCCTCTCTTTCACGTCCTTAATGCCCGCATTACTTTTGGTAATATTTTCGGCATGGACACTCCTGTAGACAAAGTATCTACATTACAAGAAGACGATCGAGTTACGTGCATTTTGGAGGAATCTTTGTTTCAATGTCCACCCAGTTACATTCAGATTGGTAATGGTAATGTGCACCATCATCATTTTTATTTTGTTATTTTCTTGCGCTTGGTTTTTAAAAATGCATGAAATAATCGATATAATTATTGTGTTTGGGTTAAATGTTGAAAAAGGATAACTAGTTGAGGATAAATGAAAAGTCTTTGAAGAAATTGCCAGCATTTCACCTGGAATGATTTGAGACATCAATATTAAAATAATAGACATTTGTGGAGTTGAAATTCAATTGACATTCCTTGCACAAGGAAATATACATAACTAATATTTCTGGGTAAATTGTTCAGAAAATAGAAGACTGCATGAAGTCAAAAAAACCATTGTCGGAACTTTCCTTTGATTGTCATTTATCAGCTATCCTTTTTTGACTATTTCACCATTAATTTCAGTTCGCTACCTTGCTTATTTATTCTGACTCACTAACATTTAACTTACAGTCATCAAATAACTTAATAATAAAAAAAATATTCGTATTGCAAACAAACAAAATTTATGATTTCCAGCCGGCACTGACGGAAGGAGACAATTTAACAATGAAGAAGAAGACGACCTTTTACAGTTTGCTATCCAGCAGAGTTTAATCGAGTCGGGAACTGAGAAAGAAGAGGTTAGATTTTGTTTGATTTCTTTAATTTCTCTCTCCGTCACAGTTTGTTTGTTATCTGTGTTGTGTCAATACTAATATTTTTTAATAGATGTTATAAACTCATATCCATTGAACTCTATGCTAAAAACTGGAAAGGTCTAGGATTGGTAAATTCTCTTGTTTCCTAACTCATAAAAAAAGATTGCATAAAATAATATTTATTCGTTTTGTGATTAAATTTAATTCACTTTTTAGGTAGAGATTTTTAGTTTGCCTATTCTAGCTTCTATCTACCAAAATAAGGCAGAAAGTGTTTACTGTTGCTTATACATTACAGTATGCCAACTTAATGAAAGTACGTTCTTTAATTTTCGCAAATAAATTCTGTATTGGCAAGATCATTCTAGTTCCTTGGCTAAAAGTTCTCTGCTTATATGTACTAACATATGAAAACCTAATAGTTCTGATTTTTTTTTTTAGGTGGATATATGGGAGGCTCTACGAGGTCAAAAGCCTTCACGTCCCGAAACGCCAGTAAATTTCGAAGAAAGAGAACTTCAAAAGTACGTATTTGGGTTACATAGGTATCACTTTAGGTAACTAGAATTAGAATGTAGGTAATTCAAATATTTGTAAATAGAATCCGGTTTGTCTGGACAAAATAGTTAAGTGAGGATTATTTCCAATTTCAAGTTTCAAGTCTTGTATGTTTGAAAAAAAAAAAAAAAAAATTAAGGTATATGTTTTTTGTTGCATCTTATAGCAAATGGTGACTATTTGACGAGATGTTTTTATTTTTTTTAGAGTTTTTATTTTTTTTTCAAAGATTATTAAGAGGACGGGTTAGTTTTTGTTAGTATCGATTATGTCTGTTTCGTTCAAAATACTAACATACAAAGACTAGCACTTATTACGAATTACGATACATTTGGCAACAGTGCGAAAATGTGAGCCGCCTTAAATTTATTTTTTTTGTTGCAAACATAGGCGCAACTAGGCTCCAAATTTGAGAGGTGCTTATAGCACCATTTTTTTTGGTGAGGTTTGATGGAAAGGAAATGACGCGCGTAGAAAATAGTATACAGGGTGTCCCACGGTGGATGGCGTATTAGACGTTTATGGAGAACTAAAAAGCGGATCATAATGAAAATTTGGCAACCGGGATAAACGACCATAATCTACACTTTAAAAATATTTTTGTTTATGCGGTGTTACCGCTTCTACTCTTAATCAGTGGCAACATCGCTATTTTAAATGGAACACCCTGTGTGTGATTGCATATTTGGATTTTACGTAAAATTCTGAACAGATTTCATGTGATATACCCTATACCTAAGTTCAACTATTTCGGAAATATTGACAGTTGAAAATTGAGTTTTTGCAACTTTGACAGGTTGTAAAACCTAAACGGTTAATTTTAGAGGAACACCGATTTAACATTCCTATCTTAGATTTTCATAAACTATCATTTGACACCAACTCTGAATTTAACCGGAGATTAAATTTAATTGGAAATTTTAATCATGGATTAAATTCAAAGTTGGTGTCAAATTATAGTTTATAAAAATCTAAGATAGGAATGTAAAATCGGTTTTCCTCTAAAATTAACTGTTCAGGTTTTACAGCCTGTCAAAGTTGCAAAAAGTCAATTTTGAACTGTCATTATTTCCAAAACAGTTGAACTTAGGTATAGGGTATATAACATGAAATCTGCTCAGAATTTTACGTAGAATCGAAATATGCAATCACATACAGGGGGTTCCATTTAAAATAGCGATGTTGCCACTAGTTTAGAGTAGAAGCGGCAACACCACATAAACAAAAATATTTTTAAAGTGTAGACTATGGTCGTTTATCCCGGTTGCCAAATTTTCAAAATGATCCGCTTTTTAGTTCTCCATAAACGTCTAATACGCCATCCACCGTGGGACACCCTGTATTTCCTAACTAGTGCGGAAATAATTATTAAAGATGTTAATAATATTAATTAAAACCTGTGCACGCTTATACCATGGTATACCGGGGCGGGTTTGTACAAAAATGTCACCTTAAAGAGAGTACATTAAAAATCATTGGTACTGTACACCCATTGTTATAATTAAGGCAGTAAAACAACCTTGGAAATATACCAAGTAAATATCAGAAATACCATCAATAATATTTAATAGTTATTTATGTATCAAGGGAATTATGAGGGTATTAACACCTGATAATTCCCGTGGTACATAGATAATTTTATTTCCTACTGAATTGACTGTGTTTTGTCCATTTTTGTACAGGAATAAACCATAAACGAAAATTTTAATTTTTTCTCAAAGTTTTACCTATTCAAGGTAAAAGCGGGAGTTATAGAAATCCTTAACTTCCTTGGGAGTTATGATATCCTTAACTCCCGTGCGGGAGTTATGAAATCCTTAACTCCCTTGGGAGTTAAGACCCTGTTTATGATTATCGTAACCAAGGCGTTATATGGTTATAATAGTTCAGTGGGAAATAAAAATAATAATTAAGAAACGTTAACAAATAATAAATTTACTGGTACATCACCCCTTTTTGGTCCTCCCTGCAGTCAAAACACCCATTTCTATATCTGTCTCCTGACAGCCTCACAGCCCTGATAACAGACACATCAACTTCTATCGACTCCCTTCTTAAAAATGTGAATTTCAGTTTCAATTCAGAGTTTTGGGTACTCTTGACACCTCAACTTCGAGACTAGTAAACCGTCAAAGAGGAAAACCCAATGGTAAAGGTAAAATCCAAACTAAAATCCAATCTAAAAAACCCTGAAAGAGTACAATAAGCCTTAGAACTCCTTCATACTTATAAAAATGAAAATCCCAACCCTCAAATGGACCTAAATTGGGAAAAAAAAATTAAAATAGCAAAATCCCCTGAAACCTGTCTTGTCTTTACAAAAACCCCTTAATTAATAAGCCCATTAATGCCCCTTTTGGAAACGATTAATGAGTTTTTTTTTACTGACAAATGGCCTCGTGGAGGTCAAATTCCCTTTTTTTTATTGAATCCCAAATATTTACAAAAATACAGATAAGCTTATATAATATTGACAACGAAAAGGTAAATTTGAGAATGATAAAAACGTTTAAAATTACCTGGTTACAATTTGGGCTGGTTGAACAAAACGTGCTCCTGTGCTCACACGACAAATCAACAAAATGGCGTAGACTTCGTTTCCAGAAAATTCTGTGTGGTTGGCTTACAAATACGGGGACTTACGCCAAATCCAAAGCTTTCACCCCAAAACCAATTTAAGCCAGCAACCACTTTGAGTTTCCAGCGCCTTCTAAATCCCACAAAAAGGTGGATGTTCCAAGGAACGTAGCAAGGAAGGACCACTGGTAAAATCTGCCAAAGAACTTGTTGTTTGTTCAACGTGCGAATTTAAAAGAGAACGATTCCTTTTCTGCGATTTATTAGGTGAGCTTCAATATGAAAATTTTTCTAGAATTCCAGTTTTTTTTCAAGATGCCCTCTGGTGCCACATTTCCCGTCTTGACAAGGAAAACGGAACAAACAGCTTGAAACGGAACGACCCAAATCACATTGATGACCAATAAAACTCAAAGTTGTTATCAAATCTTCTCCCCTAACACCAATTAACACTAATTAATTACTTATAGAAGTTATTAATCAACATCTACCCAGTCTTCAGTCTAAAAACTATCAAAATAACCAGTGACTCTTTAGGGGTCACAACTACAGTCACTCTATTAACCACAGTGGTCAAGGAATCTCGACAACAACGCTGCCTGAAACGAAACAACAAATGTCACTTAACCATACTTATTCGGTGGAAAATAAACATTTGGAAAATATGGAAAATAGAGGAAATAGGGGTGAAAAAGCGATTTAAAGAGTGTGAAAGTGTTTTGTGATGTAGAATTTTTAATAATGGAAAATACTAGATTCGTAAGTGTTGCCAATTGATATTTATTTCAAAGTAAACAAAGCTTTTCACCGACATTTAGGGCCTTGCAGAAGACTTTCGAAAGCTAAATAAAGTGGATTCCTATTCCAACAGTAGGGCTTTATTATCTTAAAACTACCCTGTCATCTGAATACAAAGAATTTACTCATTATTACCTTGAAAAATATACCTTTAATCAACAACTAGATATTGTTTTGCATCCAAACAAAAAGGCAGAAATCTAGTAAAATTCAATGAGCAACCTATCAATTACCGAAAAATATTAATCCCCAGGTATAAAGCTTTCTAAATACCCTCACAAATACCTGAATTTATTTGAAATCTTCAGTTACGTTAAGGCAAAATTTGAACGTAACAAAGTCAACATTACATTTATGATTGTAAATAATAGTTATTTATTATACAAGGGAAAAAAGTACTAGATTTTAGCGTGAGGTGTGGTTTGTCTCCCGACGCGAAGCGGAGGGAGACAACACAGCGAGCGCTAAAATCTTACTTTTTTCCCATCTATAATACACTATTTTTTTCTGTGACGGAAAAATCTTACCATATTCACTTTGAGAAAAAAATTTGACTGGTACCTGTTACTTTTTTCCCGTGGGAAAAAAAATCAGTTTTTTCCCATGCGAGAAAAAGTGACATTTTTGCCCCTGTCAACAGGTACAAAAAGTCTACTTTTTTCCCGTCAAAGAAAAATAGTTATTTTTTATACGACGATAAAATGGTAGTTTATCGTTGACCGGAAAAGTTAATTCACGAGCGGAATCGCGAGTGCATTAATTCCGGGAGACGATAATGACATTTTATCGCCGTGTAATGCAAAACAAAGTTTTTTTCCATAGCCTAATTATGGACGCCTGTAGTAGATATTTAAAAATTATTTGAGTCGAACACTTTTGCATAATATCCGTTCACAATCCGATGTCCACTGGTACCAGTAAAATGTATCACCTTTCAATGCTATTTGATAGGGAGAGGTGATAAATTTACCAGCACCTGTGGACATCGGATTGTGAACAGGATATAGAAATTCGTTCGACAAACTTTGACAAATAAATAAAAAACAAAATATGTATTTATATATTTTTGACAAAATAAACGTCTTTATCTATCCTTGCTGTTAAAGTATCATTTAATCTACCCTTGCGGTTAAAGTACTACTTTATCTACTATTTTTAGTAGATTAAAGGCTACTTTACCAGTAGCTATGGAAAAAATTAAATTCTGCTATTGCTTTGTCAGTAACTATCTATCATTTGTTTTTATTTTTCCCACCCAATTCTTGAAAAGTATCTAGTTTAAGCTACTGTTGCTAAAGTGCCGTTTTTACATGTCACCATTTCCAAATTTTAGAGCAATACAAGCCAGCTTGGAGCAGTACCAAAGTCCTCCTTCAGACGGTACGGAAAGCCCCAACACTGCCGAATTGGACTATGATTTGCAGATGGCGCTGCTGATATCGAAAAAGGAACGGGACAAGGAAGAACAGAACCGTTTAGACGAAGAAAAAATGCTAAAAGAAGCTTTGGAATTATCTTTAATGGAAAAATAGTGTTTGGTGGTTGTTTAGGATTATTTGTCATTCATTTAAGGGTATGAAAGATATAGGATAGTGTGAGGATAAAATGAAATTAGGATATTATCACCAATTTTTACAAAAATTGCAATAAATTGGAAAAGATAGTTTCTGAATTGGGCAAATTTAATTCACTCTTCAATTTTCTTCTTTTCGGCACGAATTGAGATTTTATATGGAGTCTACTTAAAAAGCAATTTTTATCTATGACTTAACGAGGTGTCATTCTAAAACTTTATTTGAAATCGTGCCTAATATAGAGTGCATAAAATGCAAAAAAAATAAAATTAAATGTCCAATCAGCTTCCAGGAAAGTCTTGCACTTTATATAAATTCCATAAATTATACAAATTACTGACAATTTTTTAAATAGTATTTTAAGATATTGATTTTTAAAATATGGGGTGTTGAAAGTAAGAGTTCGGGCCTAAAAACTGATTTGCAATGAGGTATTATAAGCCTTTTTTACTTTTTAAATAGCAAATAAGATTTGATATTAATTATTGTCAAATGTAATTAATGAGTGAAAACTGTGATTACTGCAACTTTGTAACGTTTCCAAGAACTAATGTTTGCTTCAAAATGATCTTGCGATATCAATTAATTAATATTAAAGAGCCCTATATCTTGGACACCCTGTATTATAATAAATTATTCTTTTGGTGTATATGATTATTGTGATATAATTAATTAGCTAGTTATTCTCTTGGTTATACCAATAATCTCTATTTGGGGCCAAGTTGTGGAACCTAGCCAAAATTAATCCGTTAGAAAATGCTTTAAGTAATTTTCTTATTTGTTTTAGAAAAAATAATAAGCAATTTGTACAACTTCTTGTAAATTATTTTATTTTGTTTTAGTTCCTATAAGAAAAAAAAAAATTGTTCTTAACTTTATATCATATTTTATTTGAATCTAATAAAAGTAAATTGTTTTTATGTTTTCTTTTTTTAATGGCCCTGAAATAGGAAATAGTAGGTAGAGTTGCATATTTGTAGCAAAACGCCCCAAGTACTCTATGTAATTAGTTGGATGGTAAATGGCGAGCGGTATATTGATGGTGTTTATTTCCTTGGAGCTGCTACCTATAAAATTGTGGAAGGTTCTATTCGCAAAAGAGAGAAACAAACTATTGAAGTTTACTTAATTATATTTTATTATACATAAAACCAAAAATTTTCAAACAGCAAAATATCTTCCAATTCTAACAGCCTCATCTATTTTTCTAAATTCAATTACTTCACATGCGTTCAAAGGTCGTTATTACGGACCACTGAAATATCCATACAAATAAAGAAACGCCCTATTCCTACTATTCCTAATCACTTATAAGTTAACTCATTTCAACACTTCCGATTCATTCCTATTAAACTACCTGTCACCTATTTCTATAAATTCTTTAAAATTTCTAAGTCCTTTACTGACTGCTTATGAAAAACCCGAAATAATTACCTATTTGTTTATTAATATAGGTATTACTAACTTATTCTTATAAAACCTTGCAATAATTTCTACATGAAATTTAAAACCCTAATTCAAAAGTTCGGCACTTAAGATCATCAGTGTTTCTTTATTAACAACAAATTTCAAATAAACCTTCCCAATACGTCTAATGATTATCGTCAGCAATTTTAATTCCTTAAGAACAACAGTTCTTAAACTAACCACTCCATTACACTGAATGATTACCGTCAACAATCTCATTTCATGCACAAGTTTCTTTTCGAAACATCCCATTTCATTTGATTAGAACAATGACTATTTTCGCAATCCTAGCTAACGCTAACATACAAAATTATTTAAATTATTATTAGTTCGTTACTATAGCCCTTAAACTTCAATTGGGCATTCCAATTCAAAATTCTTTAATAATCTCTACTCAAATCGATACTTATTATGTTATGTTAAGTGCATTATAAATTCCCTTCATATTTTCTTTGCAAAATTAAATTAGAATGTCATTATATCTGAAGGCAATTAAAGTTATGCAATAATGTTCCATAGTCAAAACACTCGAGTATTACTATTTATGCAATAAGTTCCAAAGATAATTCCCTTCAAAGTCATTCATCATTTATAAAGTCAAAAAGTTTTACTAGTAAAAATCACTCAAGTCTTAGGCATTAAAAGTCATTGTTAATTCATTTCCTATCATTCAGAATCATTGATAAAAGTCAGAAAATTATTAACCACTACATTTAACTTTTCACACGTAATAGTTATTTATATTACTAGTACGGTATGAGCTTCATTACAGTAACGAGTGGGGAATATTGCCAAGACGAGGTCGTAGACCGAGTCGTGGTAATCACACGAGTGGTGTAATGAGCGTTACCGTACGTGTGATATACAACATTTTATGTACGACCCAGATTTTTTTCATATTTTCTAAATGGTTTTAATTTTTCACAAAAGATTATATTTATAATTTTTGATAAATGAATTTTAAAAAGTGCCGTTTTTCAATAAAAATGAGTTACGTAAAGAGCTCTCATTACATCACTGAATGATGTAATGAGAGCTCATTACATCACTGAGTGATGTAATGAGAGTTCATTACATCACTGAATGATGTAATGAGGTCATTACATCACTAAGCACGATAATACAACTTATTACGTAACTCAAACAGGCTAAAATGAGTTACGTAATAAGCTCTTACAGTGTAGGTCGTACATAAAATTACTTAATTTAATTTACTTCAAAAATCTCCAGAGCCCGCACATAAGTTGAACGAATTTCTAATGTTATCTCTTTCACAATTTTCCGTACTTTTTCTAAGTTAAATCGAACGCTTTTTCCCCGAGGCCTTAATAAGAACTTTTCGCGAATTTCAACCCGACTGACTCATTAGGTACTGTAGACTTTAACTCAAACTGGACTGGACTGCTAACAACTGGCAACTGCCTTCCACTTCTAAAACCGCCTGTATTTATACTATTCGATTCCCCCATAATTTCTTTGTCCATGACAATTAAGATGATGCAATCTCCTTGAAATTTTTGTCATTTTATTAGTTTAAATCGAATAATTATGTCGCAATTTCCTGATTTTATCAGGGTCAAAAACTTTATTATAAGAATGTGAGGACAACACAAACAAAGCCGACACACGTGAGTAGATATAGTTTTACAGTTCTGCGCCCTCCGACGCCTCCGTGACGTCTGCGCATGCGCCAACCAGAGCGTCGCGACGCCGTGACGTCATCAGTCAGCTGGCATCTGTCAATGTCACTCATCTGTCAATGTCACCTGTCAATGTCAGTCACCTGTCAATGTCAGTCACCTGTCAATGTCATCTGTCAATGTCAGTCACCTGTCAATGTCAGTCACTTGTCAATGCCAGCTGTCAATGTCAATGTCAGCTGTCAATGTCACCTACCTGAACTACTCCAACTTACCCGCTCTCTGCGCCATCTATAAACCCCGTATAATACTACTGTGTATTTTTTATATTTCTACATGTACAGATGAAAAAATACGTGAACATGCATGAAGAAATATAAAGAAACAGATGGGCAAAAAAAAAAAATACTAACCTCAAACAATTTTTTATTTAAAACATACATTTTTTAGGACTCAACTATTTCAAAAAGCGATATTTGGTTTGGTCGTCCTACATCCTTCTGGCCTCTGTATATTATTGAATATTTTCCATCCATAAACTGCTCAATATGATCTTCCAATGATTTGGTGGTACGTTTTGGAAGAAACACTGCCTTATCGTCAAGTTCAATGAGGATACTCGGTCCGAATTTACTTTGGGTTTTTTTAGCAGAAAATATTGGGTACTTTCTGCAAGGCTCCATGTCTTGTAATTTCACAAGTGTTTTTTGATTCTTGAAGAGGCACGACTCGTTGATTGATTTCAAATCCATATCTAAAAAATATTCTGTAGGTATTGATATTAGTATATAAAAGATTTACTTACTTGTTAAAAAAAAAGAATGTTGTGCAATAATTTTATAATAATTTTAATGTTCGCTGTTGTCGAGCTAAAACCAGACTGAAGCTCGAGTATCATAAAAACCGATTTAAACCTCAACGTACATACAATAATAATTATTTCAGCAGTGTTTGTTTTACAATGGTCTTCACACGGTTCCCAGTACCACAATCGGACAAAACGTGTCGCAAAATATATTTATCGTACCAAGGTCGTAAAACGTAAACAACGCCGGTTTCACGGAAAATGCAATATCCAATTAGCAGACTAAACTCGTAGACTAAACAATTAATCCTGTGCTGAAATTTTTATTAGTAAATTGATAATAATAATTGCTTATACTGAGAAGAGTTCATCACGACTTCATAAGGAAGGTATTTATGTTTATTTGGATTGCTTAAAACAGAGAACATCACTTTCCTGCTAGGTATTAGCAACAAAATCAAGCATATGAACCTATAAAAGTTGTGTTGTATATTTTTGTTGGTGATTACTTTCAATATCAATATTTCTAGTATGGTAAAGTGCTGTTCTATGTTTTTTGATGATTGATTGATTGTTGATTGATGATTCAAAGTTTATTCTCCTTGGCGTCAATATAACTAGAACAAACAAGTTTGCGCTTCAATTCGACCGCAGCCAGTTGGAGAGGCAGCAGCAGCAACAACATTCAATACTAATTTTAGTTTATTGTGAGTGATTGTGTCGGTTTCGAAAAAACAGTAAGTACTATTTTCAAATATCAAAGTAATTTTTTTTTATTGAAATTTATTTCCAATAGTTTTTTTTTTTAACAACTTGAGTTTCCTTTTTCACTTACATTTACACATAATTCAAATACCTTTTTCTAAAATTTAGGTAGGTACTTTAACTAATTTAAACTGGTTTTATTTTTTCATTCATTTTAAAACAAACCTCCATAAACAGCGGATTTTTAATTTCGTGAATATCTGCTTCAGGAAATGTTTAGCTGCGATTTCTGTACCAAATTGTTCACCAGGAGGGATAACCTGAAACGTCATGGAGATTGCCGAACATCTGCCAGGATCTGCAACCAATGTGGTGGGATTTTCAAATCGGAGGGGGCTCTCCAACGCCACCGTCAAGAAAAACACCCAGCCCCGAGAGTCCCCAAACGAAAGGCTGGAGATCCCGCCACCCCCATGACGAAGCAAGCTAGACTTGACCAAGTTGCCGGTAAATTAAAATTGAATAATTTTCTTTTAAAATCTAATTTAATTGTTTTCAGGACCATCAACATCAGCCACAGGTCGGCGGTGCGAGGATTGCGACTTGGAGACTCCGATAAATCAATGGGCTGGTCATCTTCGGAGTCTCCAGCACCGAGCCAACACCTGTGTGGAGCAGGAGGAAGACGTCAGCCTTGTCAGAACAACATTCAGGAACCGAATTGCAACATACCGGCTTTCATCGAAACAGGACCCTACCAGCGTGAAGCACTTTCTAGAACATCTTCAACAGAAATTCGTCAAGCTGGTAGGGGATATGGTCAATAAATTTGGCCATATCAAAGTCGGTGTGGAACTTTTCGGTCGCTTCCTCCTGCAGGCAAAAGAGCAAGAAGAGGTCAAGTCGCTTAATAGCAAATTCCGACTGGTGAGCAATGGTGCAGATCTGGAGGAGTTGTTCCAGCAGTTTTCTCTCATCCTGGACAAGAAGTCCACAGAATTTCAGGAGAAAGAAAGTGGTATGTATTATTTCATTTGCAATTTTATATGCTAAATAATGTCTTTTACAGGCTGGACGCTCCAACAACTCCTCCATCTAGATATAAGTATTAATAAGGTGAACCCTCTAAAAGCCTCCTCATATCTACCACTGCCTAAAGAGATAGATGCGAAGAAAGCTGTCCTGAACATACAAAATAGCGATCAGAAATGTTTCATGTGGTCGGTCTTGGCTCACCTACATCCAGTTGACAGAACTCAGCATGCAAATAGAGTCGCGAACTATTTGCCTTTTGAGAACGAGT